GGTTGACACACGCGCATGTGATAAACACCAAACCAATATAGGATCTTTCTTTTCTTTCTTCATTCCTTTCCTATTCTTTGAGGCGTTCTCATATCGTAGCGGTCAAATGAAATAATTACGTGAAGAAATTACTTAAGTATTATGCGATCATAGCTTTAAGAATAATATAATTTGGGCAACAAGCACGTGGCAATTAAAAGAACCGAGAAAACTGAAAAAAAACTAGCAATAAGTTTCGCTTTGAATCACAACTATGAGTTAACACAATCACAAAATAAATTGTTGCTTACCAACGTTCGCGGGTCTTGACTACTTTATCCGGGGAGGATTACGGTCTAACTTGTCTTCTAGTTTAGAAACGATCTTGATTACCTGAGGTCTTATCCTGAACTGAAACGCTAACTATAGTTTTCTGTCTTAAAATGAACTAACCACGGAGGCGTTTATCAAACCATAGAATATTTCGCATCTCTCAGAAGCGGTTGCACTACTAAGCTAGTTTCCGCTGTTATTATTGCGCCGTCCGCGAAAGTCCAGTTTCCTACGCGGAAACCTATCGTTACACATTAGACCCCATAACTTTCATATTTTCAGCTCTTCCTAAAAAAGGTCTCGCTAAGGTCTACTTATACAGACATGGAAGCAGAAAAGATATCTACGTTTCGCTGTTAGCGTGTTTTTCTGATCAAGAAGCTATTTTTCAAATTGGGGCCTGGAAACCTGCATAGCTGACATACGCCTTTTATACCTGATTTGTATAATTTACACTACGCCAGTACATGTCTAGTTAAATTTTCTGTTTCTTTTTAGTAATTGAAGGATCATACTTTTGTGAGACATATCAACTTGACAAAGACAAGACGAAAGGAACACAAAAAGGTAGAAACTTTTTTAATAACTTCCTAACAAATATTTGTTCTTTTTGAAATGATGTTTACAGAATGGTAGGTAACAAGATTGTCTTTACATATGAACTCATTACTCATAGATTGTCATCTATTCCATTCAAGTGAAACCTTTAATTTGGGAATGAAAATTTTCTGAGGGTGATTGTACCTTTCTTCAATCGGACTTGTAGATTACGATCCTTAGGGAAACAGGAATGACGTGAAATGTAAGAGTCAAATTGTGACAATCGCGAGAGGCTTGGCATGGAATAGAGAGCTTCGCCACACATCCCATCGGCTCACACAAGACCGCCATCCACCAATAACTTCAAAGCGGCAACTGATGTCTTGTCGCCCGTAATTTTTGGCCATGTCACCCGAAACCAAACTATCCAAATCAATTCTTAACTGAAGAGTTTTAAAAAACAAGACGATCCAAAATCGTAAGTCGGGCTACAGGTAGACGTGCTGTTATGAGTGTTGACCATTCGTGGTGCGCAGTGGTTCTAAAAGAGATGCTAAGGAGGTACCAAGGTCCTGGTTTGTGGGTGTGGCATAAAATTTTTTTTCACCCCTGAGAGACACCAATTCTACAACAACACACTAGCTGTCACATTTTTGGTGCAATACTTTAAAAGGTATCACAGAAGCTGCTGCCGTGGACCTTTTGAGATTGAACAGCCCAAGAGGTACCAAACCCGCCTTTTCTAACCCCTAAAAGGTACAACGAGCACCCCAGTCCCTTTTATTTAAGGAGTCCCCCCTTCCCAAGAGTGATAAGTACATGCCAATTGATGCATGTTTTAAAAGATATATTATGAAATTGTAATCATAATGGTCTGAATGCAAGTAAGTATATTTCATCTTGAAAACATTGTATACAAAGCATACCTAATAAGGACCTTACCTGATTTTCACTTTGAATTAATTAATGCAGACATAAATAGTTGGGATTGTCTCACTCTCTTGCTGTTGTCTAACTTTGAGTTTGATTTTGTTTGTAAAATTTATCTGTTGCAGTCTTTTCATTTTTGGAGCAGGTTCCAAATTATCATAATTACCGGTATATTTTCGTCTGTGCTTTTGCATGTGTCTGATTTGATGAAAGTCCATGTTAGATGTGCAAGACAAAAATTGTATTTCGTAGTGAACAATATCTGTTTTAAGTTTCTTGGCAACAATATTAAAAATAGCTTGTACTATTGATGGTATACCACTTATTTTTATTTGTTGTATTGCAGGTTCACAAGTATCTTCATAGGTCAACAAGGAGAACTTGTACTTTGCTCTGACTGTTTGTCGAAAAATACAAGTAATACCCAACAGTAACTTGCAAGCCACAATAAAAACCCTGTATTTCCATTGTAGTTGTTGAAAATTAAGTTTTCCAACTTTTTCTGTATTTTTTAAACCACTGAACATCCCATAGCTTTGAGCTTTCATTTGGACTGATATCTCAAAACTCCACAAATATTAAGACTCGTGTATAAATCTGCCCTTTTTAGATGCATAGTCTGGAAATACTGTACTAAGCCCTGAATTGATGGTACTTCTAATAGTACTGTTGTATCTAAGGGATGGCTGCGACCATATTCGTCTCTTGCATGAAAATCAAATATATTATAACTCCCATTATCAGTATGATAGATACTGACACCGTTTACATTCTATTGTCAGAATAAATGAAGAGTAATTTTATGACAAGAGTGATTCAAAAGCCCTTTCAGTAGACATACTGTACTGATATTCCTCAATTATTGAATCACACTGTTAATATTACAATGATTAACAAACACCGCATGATGAGATCTGAATTCTTTTCCATATTTTATTTCTTTTGCGACATCATTTTGTTGTGCACGCAACGCTGATTCGTCACACTTTTGTTGTATGCATGGCGCTACTTTGTCCAAATTATACATCACATTCATTTGACACCGCGTTATTTGATACCAAACAAACATTCCTGCATAACAAAAACGTGAATTTAATATTCGTACAAAAGTGACATAACTAATGGAACGAACAGAAAAAAACAGCGGATAATATACTCTGTTTGAGCAAAAGCATAACAAATGTAAGCTTAATAATCACGATAGAGGACACATAAATATAACAATTACGTCTATCCTCACTGATGAAAGTCCAACATGGCATCTTTGTTGTCGTTTCCAAGAGTTTGATCACGAGGCACCTTGTATTTATCAGCAAATGTTCTCCTGTCACTCTGTCCACATCCACATTTCAGTGTTCACTGATAACTCATTTGATTTCTGGTTTGATTCTAGAGAGACCTTCGCTAAATCATTTGATTATTTTACTATCTTGAGTTCGAGGAACGACCGGTTCGAAATATACGCTCATTACACGCGCCATCTTTTAGAGTGGGTCTACCACGAACGGTGAGTGGGTCTGTATGTTTGAGCGTAGAAAAGATGACGTAAATTGTTAATACATTCGACATATCCGCCATCTTTGAAATCGTGGAAAAAAGGTTGCGCCTTTATCATTACGTGTCTGCGGTATTCACCATTGCACGTGACGGAGTTCTGTAGAGAAACCCGATGGTAAACCTATAGTCGGTCGCCCGACTAATTAAACATCAATGGCCTGACTGAGCAGTGATAAATTACAACTGACTAGTTATAGAATGAATAAGTAAGAGGACTACATGCTTGTCCAATTTTGAAAATAACCGGATGCTAACGACTGGGCATTATTTAAGAAACAAAGACATATAGTCAATAAGCAAATACGCTCAGCTAAGCAAGTTTATTACCAAAATAGTTTTAATAAGCACACCAGCGACTCCCGAAAGACCTGGCAGACTATAAACGAGCTAACTTCTCGAAAATCTGGGAAAACGCCAGTGGCGTCACTAAAAGTGAACGGATTAACGATAACTAATCCGTTGGAGCTATCAAACGAATTCAATAACCACTTTGCTAATATTGGTCCAAAACTTGCCAGTGAGATAAATTGTGATAGTGGTAGCTATCAAAGATATCTTACCGCAACAGATAAACGGTTTAAGCTCCAACCCACCAATCCAACTAAAGTATTTTCACTTTTAAATAAACTACACAAGTCAAAGGCAACGGGCCTTGACAAAATATCTGCTAGGTTTATCAGGGAATGTGCTGATCTTATTTGTGTGCCGATATGTGATATTTTCAATCAATCTATTAGCCAAGGGACGTTCCCAGACGACTGGAAATATGCAAGGATTACCCCTCTTTATAAACAGGGTGACCGCGGTGATGCTAACAATTACCGCCCAATATCGGTGATTCCAATAATGGCGAAGGTGTTTGAAAGGATAGTTTATGAACAGTTATATGCCTATTTGGAAGAGCACGATATTTTATGTCAAAACCAATCAGGGTTTCGTGCTAATCATTCAACTGTAACAGCTTTGTTGGAAGCGACAGATTCTTGGGCATATAATATTGATAACGAGAAAATCAATGGAGTCATTTTTCTAGATTTGAAAAAAGCTTTTGACACTGTTGATCATCAGATCCTTCTATCGAAACTAAACTATTATGGTATACATGGAAAATCTTTCAGATGGTTTCAGTCATATTTGGAAAACCGAACACAAAAATGCTCTGTCAACGGGTCGCTATCCAGTAGCTACTCGTTGACTTGCGGCGTCCCTCAAGGGACCAT